CTTGACCAGCGGCAGGTCCATCTTGGAGCCGGCTGGCATTGGCTCCATTTGACATAGAGGAAGTTTCTAGAAGCTTCTCACAGAAGCCCCCCCGTAGCCCCCCCACTACCAAAACCTTGCCACGCAAACCCAATACACAAGGTAATTTCCTGGGCACTACACAGTCTCTGATTCCCCACCACAAGCACTACTGGAAACAGTTGCTGCAGGCACAGCTCTCCCAGCTGAACACAGTTTGAGCTGGCCCCTTGCAGTGACAGAGGGAGCATCTGTCTCTGGGAAGCAAAAGAGAGGGTTTTTTTTCCCCTCCCTACATCTGTGGGACTACTTACACCCCCTTCCACCTCACAGGCTGCTAAAGTCACGTATTGCCACAGGTTTCCTCTCATCTTCTTATCAAGTATCCATGAATTTACCTTCCTTAAATTGTAGGTGTGAGAGGAGCCAGGAGGATGTCTTGGCTTTTCATCACCTTCACTGAGGCAGCATTGAGGCTGTTATTGGTGTGGTAGTATAGCTTGCAGCATTTAGTAACCGAGGAACTCCTAAGAAGATCAACTCAGAACAATCTCTGGAAACCATCTCATACCAGCTGCAGCGATACAAAGTCCTACTAATTGGTTATGTGAGCCCATGGATAGTATTAAGGAACCTGATAATTTACTGCACCCTCCCAAGCATCGCATCTGGGTGGCACACTGGCCCACCACTGTTCTTCCTTATTTAAGTAACCCCTGCCCAAGCCTCTAAACTACTGTGCAGAGCAAGGAGTTTCACAGTAGAAACTTGGGACGAACATCAGTGTGCTTCAGGGTGTAGAAGAAAAGGTGAATAAACGAGCAGAGAAGAGGGGTAGTCAGCAGGTCCTGTGTGAATTTGGTTTGATTTCCCAGTGCATACTCTCCCCCTTCCCTTCTCCTGCCCCTTGGAAAAAGAAAGAGTCAGGGTATCATCAAGGGATTGAGCATAAAGAAAACAATGCAGACAAAGCCTCTGGAGATCTCACGTGAAGCATCACAAGAACACAGCCGTTCCTGGGCCTGCTGGGCTGTAGTTTGGGGAGAACATTTACACAGCTGAAACTTGCGGAGAAATTCTGGGAAAGCAAAACCGAGATGCACGGCGAAGGGGGTTGCTCTGCACTCAAGATCCTCCTCTTCATCTTACGGGCTCCTGGGTTCACTAGCAAGCAAGAATAGCCAGATCTTTGCTTTCCTGTCAGTTCTGGAAACCAGTCATACCGTCGTCTTAATTTAAACAAAGACTTCTCCACCCTGTCCAGGCCACTTTTACCAACTGCAATGGTTAACACACATTTGGAAAAATTCTGCAGCCAGCATGTGTTTGTCTTCTCACACTTTTAAAAATGATTGTGCTGGAGGAAGGAAGCCTCCCCCTCTTTTGCGCCCCCCAGCTGGAAAATCACCTCTAATCTTACTGCCCTTTTTCCTGCTGTGTATCCTGCCAGTTAAAACTGGGTCTTGTTATGAACTGCAAATAATGTGACTAAGCCTTTGGCCAGGTTTTTTCTAGTTCAATTCTCATTCTGCCCATGAACCTGGGTTTGGCTTGTATTTTGTATCCCATGATCAGCTCATCCCTCTCTCATTTCAACCTCAGTTTTTGCTTGCTGTCAGCTTTCCTACTGCTCTGCCTGGCATCTGCCATGCCATTTTGTTCCTGTTGTTTTCACATGTGATGGGCGAATGGGCTCACTTCCCGTTGCACTGGAGACATTTTAGCCCTGCTGGGTACCTGGAGGGGCCTGTGTTCATTCCCATATGTACCATGTGTTGAGGACATACGCATATACCACCTGGCTGAGCTAAAGCCTTGTTTGCTTGTTTTGGCTTCCAGGATGTGTATTCTCATGTTGCCATTTGACTGCTCCACAGAAAAATACCATCAACTTGTAGTGGACATGACCACTTCCAACAGAGTGTCCTTCTCTGTCTCTCCAACCCCCTACAGCAATGGCTGGGTACCTTGGGTGGGATTGGGTGGCCTCTGCCCACACCTCCACACCTGGCTGTTAAGAACCACTCACTGGAAAAGGTGTGTAACTCTACTCTGGAGGGTCTTGTTGTATACATAGACCTCTTTCTTGGGGGCTTGATAACAGGTTCTCCCCTTTACGGCCAATCCTTATTTCATTCTTCTGTTTCCCATTAAGGCAGTTCTTGAACAAAACCACAAGTTTCTCCCTTGGGTATTCTTAAATTCAGCAGTGGCCAGGAGATAAACTTGCCCATGGTCTTTTAGGGCCTTGCTCCTCTAGAGCTGAAGAGCCCCTTAATGTGCTGGAAGTCAAATATGCCTTCTCCTTCTTTCTGCAGAAGACAAAGCCTTTTAGGAAGTTTCAAAGGCTCTTCCCTACTCCCCTGACACATACAGTAGAAGTGGTGATGTGTCTGCACTCTACTGAGTGCAATTAGACTGCAAACTCTACTGAGATGTTTGATACTGCAAGGCAGAGCTGGCTACTATGGGGAGAGTGCAGTCCACACAAGCTCTGTTGGCTTTGGCGGCATTGCTGCTGTCTCTCTCCTTGACATGTGGAGGGCGCCCACCTGGAGTTTTGTCCATGTTTCGCTCAAGCTCTGTGTCACTGTAGAAACACACAGATGCTAAATAGCTGGCAAAACAGTCCCTGACTCTGTTTTCTCTTTGGCGACTTCCTTCTTCCAGCTCCTGGTGTGACTGTGCACTGCTTGCAGGTACCCTGAGTGTCAAGCTACGTAAGGACAACCATTTTCTGCAGAAAGTAGGTTGTTGCGTAGCACTTGGAGGCTCTCCGAGATCTTTTTCATATGCACATTCACAAAATGCCCACTTTCCCCCACACTTTGCAATGTTCCTGGAGGGAAAGAGGCTAAGAACTGAGAAGACTGTATTTTGGAGTCTGCTGTGCCCTTTTTATACTAATGTATACACGGGATTGATGCAGTGACAGTATATCAGTGAAGCCATTGTGAGGGCTAAGATTGTTTCCTGACAAAGTGACAGTCCATGGACCTACATCTCCAGTGACTGGAAAATGCCCTTTCTCTTACATTAAGGTCATGAGTAACAAGCCTGCCTCTGCTTGCCTGAGCTTTCCTGGGGCAGAGACTGTTTGTGTAGGTGGTATCCTCTCCTCCTGCATGGCCTGCAGGATGAATCCTCATTTCACTCCTAGTGAAGAGACACACGCAGCTGTGGGATGAACTGTCATGAGCAATATGACGGGGGGGGAGTCACCACTATTTGAATTTGCTGTGTGCTGTGATGTATTTAGGATATGGAGAAATGCATGTGCCTGAGAAGCGGCATCTTATTAGCTCTGTGTTTTATACAGTACCAGGAATACCTTACATGCACCCAAGCACACCTCTGCCTAACCTTTTTTTCTGGTCTAGTTCACAATTACCTACAGAATTCCCTCATTTGTCCTCTTTAACTCAATTGTTGTCCCAGTAGCAGCTGTAGCCTCATTTATTGCTTAGACGTGCGTAGTGGTGGGCAGAGGTGCTTGCTATTTCTGGCACAGATGTATGAAGCATGGGCCACCTGAAGAAGGTGACTGTGCTGCCTCCAGTACACAGCCCTTTCCTTCACAGTAGCTGCACACAGTGTTCTCGATTTTGGGAAGCAGCTGCTTTCCACCACCCACCTGAGGAACATGAACTTCTGGTGCCATCACAGGTAACACAAGTTTCACGCAACTTATGTAGGTCCACCTTATCTCAGAGACTTACATGCCACTTTGAGATGGTCTCTTCACCACCCCCAATGTGGGCTGGATGTGTCCCTGAACTAAAGAATACAACTTCATTTTTTTCAGAGACAATGATAGAGATTTGCCTTTTCTCTTGATGTTTCTCTATCAACTCTTTCAAATTTTGGCTAGAGAAAAATGTGGCGAGATACCACAGCTGGAATGTGGGATGCCGTAGCCAACTGTCTGCGGACACCACATCCACTGGGACCAAAGCACTTGGCTGAACTTTGTCTGTTCAGCTCTCTGTGTTTCAATTTCCATGTTTCAGCTGAGGGCCGAGCAAAGTATCTCTGGGTACACTCACTTCACACTGACCACCATGGGATGAGACCACTCATGTACAACCTGCAACTGGGAGCAGTCCCTGTGGGCCACTGATGGGGCAGTCACACTGGAAATGTGTTTGTGGCACTTACTGATCCCGTTACTGGCAGTTTCAGAAAAGGACCCTTGAGCCAAGGAGCCTGAGCTCTTAGAAGTGATCAGACTGCTGGAGGAGGTCTAAACAGGCCCTATGGGCTGCTGAAATAGGCTCCAAAGCTGTTGGTCCTGCCCTGTTTGTCAGCACCATGTTCTCCTACAAAAGAAAAAACAGGACACAGGAAGCACCAACACAAGGTGGGAGAATCAAGACCTCAACCCAATGTACTAATAATACTTAGCACTGTACATCACTGTACTGTTACTTACAGACATTAACTAATACATCCTCACAACACCCCTGCGAGGTAGGGAAGTATTATTATCCCCAGTGTACAGATGGGGAAACCGAGGCACAGAGAGGCTAAGTGACTTGCCCAAGATCCCACAGCAAGGCATTGGCAGAGCCAAGATAAGAATGGAGACGTCCTTTGTTCCCCACCCCATGCTGCCCCCCACCAGGCAATGTTGCCTGTCTGGACACGGGGAACCCAAGAGTTCCCTTTGAAAAGCAATGCCTGGACTTGTTGCCTATTAATAATTTTTATTTGCCTTTAATGAATTATTTCACAGTTTTTCCCTCATACTGTACACCATGCTTTCACAGACCGTTCAGCATTCTGTGGTAGCCCACAGCCTTCTCCTCTGGCACCAGGACAGCTCTGCGGGGGGGGTTGTAGGGTGCTCTGTGCTTTCATTAAGAGGATGTTTAGAAACAGTTTTCACTGGCATTAGACTGGGAGCGTGTGAGCTCTCACTGGAGACTGATAACACACACTGGAGAAGCAGGCAGAGGGGACTGATGATAAAAAGGCATTTGCTATCCCCTGTGAAATGACCAGTGGCTCTCTTGGTTTCTTAGCTCTTCCAAGCTCCAGTGATCACTCAGAGCAGAAGTTGTTTGCCTCCAACTTGCCTGGTCAGGAAGTTGTTCTGGTGGTTGCTTCCCTAAGGGCAATAGGCAGTCAGCTCAGGACCAGAAAGGTCCCCCAGCATTGCCTACTCCAGATTTCCAGTCTTGGAACAAGGCCAGCTGTAGCCATTGTGCTCTCCTGCCACAGGGAAGGGGTATTACCATGGTTGGCAAGCAGCCCTATCCAGCGTCTAAGTCTCTTTTTTCAAAACTGGGATTCAATGAAGAGCAAGGGAGAGTGGATGGATGAGGAGATGAGGATGAGGCAGAGCAAACAGGAAAATCCACCAAATGGGCTTCTAGGAAGGAAATGTTCCCCCTTGGGCATTTCAGCTGAAGTGGCTTCGTTTTCACAAGGCTTCTTTCTCTCTCTGGGAACATCTGCTGAGCTTCATCTCTGTCAGCTGGATATATCGTATGACATTGGTATCTGCAGGGAAAGAGCACACACATACACGTACGGTTGTTACAAGTCCCTGTGAAAGACAGACACACTGCACCTTCATCCTTGGTATATCACCTGGGGAGCAACATGGCTCCAGCGCTGCCTGCAGGAACAGCATCAGCTGGAAGGGGCTCTGAACCAAACCCTTCTGCTTTGGTTTTGGAGAATCTGGTCAGATTTGTGCCCATCCCTGCTGCTCAAGATCTCGCCTCAGCTAGTGTCCTGGTTTCGGCAGGGATAGAGTTAATTTTCTTCCTAGTAGCTGGTACAGTGCTGTGTGTTGGATTTAGGAGGAGACCAATGTTGATAACTCACCGATGTTTTAGTTGTTGCTAAGTAGTGCTTACACTAGACAAGGACTTTTCAGCTTCCCATGCTCTGC